TAGAATCATGCATGAATCAGACACGTTAGCGAACTAAAAGAATTACAAAATATAAATAAAGTAAGTCTATTATTGATTTCTCATCCCTAACAAACATAATTTTCACTATGTTTGCGATAAAACATTACAATTTGTATATTTTAACAGTACCTATGTATTCGATATTTTATGATAAATAATAGTTATATCTTGTCCTTTAAACAAAGTGAGCAACATCTTTACTTCATATACCTATTCTATATTCCAATACAGCGACCACGTAAGGCATTGCTATGTGAATAAACTAGGCGTAGCCGTCATTAGTCCTGAACAACGAAGAACAAATAATATGGAATACGAACTACGGTAAAAAGTGGACCACGCAAACTGCGATCAAGTGGGCGGGGCTAAAAGAGCGCTCAATACGCCGATCATGGGATTGGTTGGAATTTCTGATTTACATTATTTTACCCAAAGAATGGATAGCCGAATTAATTGGCAGATATTATATTTGGCAACGTATTTTGTTTTGTTTGTATGCATGTCGTGTTAGTATTCAAGTTTAGTTGTATGAGTTTGGAACCCTGTTCCGGAGTGATGCTTCCATATAATTTCTAATTCGTTGGTCCTGACCTCTAATTACACAACTGTCATTTCTTGATAATCAGTTACTCATGTTATAATGTCGTTATCATAACATACATACACTACATTCAGTACTACCTATAAGGGGTTTAATATGGACAAAAAGGTTATAATAAACCGAGAGATCAGAGGGAGATTATACGAACAGTTTATAATGTTGTAATATTTCAGGGTCTTAACTTAGCAAAAGCTATTTTTTCATTTGTAAAAGGTTCTTATAAAAATATTATAGACAACTATAAATATATTGCATAACTTAGTGTCATATTAGTGTACACGCCACAATGAAAAACTTAAGGTATAACAAGTGGTTTTTCTATAATAAAATACTTATCAAAGTCGTCAATAACTATAATATTACATTATAAATCCAACCGATGTTTCATCCGCCAGCCTTAATCGAGTTAATAAATATCTGTACATTCGTCACACTGCCTGTAACAGATGGAATATCGGATGGGATGGCGCGGGAAGAATACGTGTAGCTACTCATTCTTTTACACGTCAAATAAAAAATTATCAACATTACTTATTCATTAAACAATGTACTGTTTTTTATTAAATAGATAAAGCCTTGGAATATTATTAAAACAAAAAAATATTCCCGAAAATATTCACCGCCCTGTATTGACGAGAGACTTATTCAAAAGTAGAAATAGCATTAACTAATAATGTGATGGTAGTCATAAAGTAAAATATAATGGCAAAATGATCATAAAGCTTATACTCTACACTCATGTACTCTTAACAGAAAGATTATTTTGATAAAAAATAATGACCAACAACTCCTTACCAAATGAAGTTCTAATAATTTCGTAAAGATATTAAAGAGCTGGCCACTAACGATCACAGGTACAAGAATTGGATAAGTTATCTCAGCTTATGCAATAACGCTAATATGATGGCTGTATTCAAGATAATGCTACAAATGCAAATATTTTGTATCAAAAAACATTATTGTTTATCTTTAACTTACTATTGCTTCGTGAATAGCGCAATATAAATTCGAAAGGATCATAAGTTAATACTATGTGTAGACTTGAAAATTAATTATGATTGTAAAAAACTGTCACACACTAGAGTGAAACAATCGAATTTTAATAATAAATTCTAAGCTGCATCATCACTATCAGACTTTAATACAATATTAAGATATAGTCACTATGTACATTACACATATTACTATAAATAAAGCTTAGTCATACAACTGCCTTCGTAGACAGGGTTCCTCTTGTGTTACACGAGAGCTGAAGTGCAGAACACTATCCCATTCCATCAACTAATAATAAACACATTTTCACAAATTGTCTTATTCAAAAACGATAGCACCACCGATCCCAACAACCACTATTCAATGTTTGCACACTCAGCTCGGACATTTCCTGAATCTCTCCGATCACATACACTGATGAAATCCAACACCGATCAGTGATAACTTATAAATTATACAATAGCAATTTACTACTAATCTCTGCATGGCCGACCGAAAAGCTTTTGAGTTATTAAAATGATTGACCATCACAATTTTTTAATGGTACCTAGCGTTAGCAAAACCCTAGTTTCAGTTCGCAATATGAATAGTTATGCCTCACAAGTAGCAGAAAAAAAACCGCTCAATTGTTAAAACTACAAGTGGTGCACATCTACACTGCTATCCTAGTGAAAAATACAGTAAGGAGCACCAACATAATTTTGAAAATATGACTTTTAAAGTTAAAACTTTTTAAAGATTTTGAGGAAATGGTTTTTAAACATCGAATTAGAAAACATATAGAATACAAACTGCGCTAAAATGTAGTTCCACGCAAAATGCAATCAAGTGGGTGGGGCATAAAAAGTGCGATCACTACGCCGATCGCGAGATTGGTTGAGATTACTGTTTAACATTATCTTATCTTACCCAATGAATGGATACCCGAATTCATTGGCAGCTATATTTGATTTTGCAAAGTGTTTTGTTTTGTTTGCGTGCGTGTCGTTCCCTGTTTTAGTTAGTGACCTTTGTTAAGGAGTATAGCTTCCATATCATTTTTAATTCGGTACTTTTAAAGTTAAAACTTTAAAAGCAATGTCGTAGCTCCTTACTGCATTCTTCAGTATGGCGGCACTAAATGCAGCACCAGTGTCTTTCAAGTTTCTTTTTGTTAAAAATAAACAATCACGCTGGAAGTAGAACTACCGAGTAGCGTTATTAGTAGACAACACTACAAAGAATGACATAGCAAATAACCTAAAACTGACGGTCATACAGAATAAAAAAGTCCACGTTAAGATGTCAATCGCTTCCATTCTATCACGATAGTAGATTAGATGTCTTTCCCACAGAACACAGAAAGAGGTTAGAAGAGCCATGTAGGCGGGGCAGGCTCGCCAATGTTGTGTGAGCAATGCTCATAACTTGACCAAAACTTGGTTCTGATTGCGTCGTTGCTCTCGGGTGTGAGCGCGGATTGGTTCAATTGTTGATGTCGCGTAATTTGCTTGGCTATTATCTATTAGGTGGAAGTGTAGTGGGGGCGAGCCGGTTAAATCGGTTCCCGTATAAACGGTCTTTGGACACCCTTCTAACCTCTGTGTTTTGTGGTCCTTCCCATAATCCAGATTAGGCTCAAGCAATTATCGTCTTATGGCCAGTTTCATTAATCACCCTTCATAAAAAGGTAAGGATAATCTAGTTCCGTTACTAAGTAACAGTTGTTATTATAGTCGTAATTATTATCAAGATTTTAAAAATAACTGTTGCTAAGAAACGGAAGTGATTATCCTTAACTTTAGACCGGGCTCACACGTACGGTTTACTGATCCGGAATTCCGTAGTAGTTCCGTTCAGTCCGAACATAACCGAACGTCAGTTTTTTCCGTTCTGAAAAAAAAACAGAATTGGCTATTTGACAGTATAATGTACCGATTGTTGGAATCTGTATTAAATATGAATATTAGCAGTGATTTTACTATTCTAAAAGTAATAACTTTTCTGTAAAATCATTAAATAGAAACGATCTTTTGCTCGACGGTCACGTGACCGAAAACGCCTGGGATTGGCCATGACCAAAATGACATCACACGCTAGTAAACTTCCGACCTAAAGTGAAATTACATTGTATCGTTTGACGTTTTAATGACACATACTAGTGAGACGAAAGAGAAACGTTTCGCGGTAACTTAAAAAATAAATTTAGTTTTTTTACTGAATTACAAAACAGAATTAAAAATATCCACTTTTTATGGGCACCATAAACATTAGTAAATAACGTGAGATCGTTTTCTAAAATTTCTCAAATACCCTAGAGTGCACGCCTCGTTGAACATTTTGTATGTAAGGACGTGCATTCAAGTTTCCGAATCAGGATTCCTGATCAGGAAACCGTACGTGTGCACCCAGACTTTAGTGCCTGTCAAGACATACGCGAGATTCGCATTTTGTTTCGTTCGTCATTGCAAGTTTGAGTAAGAACAATCCAGTCAGAACACGGATCAATGAACATTAAAACACGTTTGAAAATCTACACTTCTTAACTGCAGGTTGATATTGAAAATGGTCTTGATAGTGTCAGGTAGTAACATTGTTGTTAACGAGTTGCGGCTCGAAAATTGTCCACGTTACGATGACAGTCCGCTCACAATGTTTAGATTTCCTTCCGATAATCCAGATTAGGCTCAAGTGATTATCGTCCGAGTGATTCCTTTGTGTTTGCAGATTAGGCTCATGTCTCTCCCACACCTGCGAGACGAGGCTTTGACCATTTATTGCGCTAAAATTAATCGTAATTTGATAAGTTCTTATCAAAACGAACTGTCGAGCTGCGTGACGATAGACGCTAGACAATAGCTTGACTTGCGGTTTTTAACTCACACTATTTGTTGTGTGGGAGAATAAATTTGTATGTGCGGGCAGACCCCTCTTTCCCAGTGGGTACTTTGGGCAAGTGCCCAGGGCCCCGCCACCTCAGATCAAATACAAAGTCCCTAGTTTCTGTTAGTTCACCAAACGGGGATCATAGGGACCCCATTATCCTAATATGCCCAGGGCCTAAAATTGGTCAAAGGCGGCACTGTGTGCGGGTGAAGGAACGTAGAACCACGCATTTAGCAATGAAAATCTGGACGCTTATTTTAGCGCGATAAGAACAACCGCAACTTGAGCCTCTAGTCGCGACCACTAAACCATTAGCCACTAGCGGCTTCGATTGGCTTGACTGAGCCACAAGTGGTCGCGTTGAGTGGCTGCGACAAGTGGCTTTGTGCGGTTGCTCTAAGCAAAGCTTCGTCGCGCAAGGCTAGTGTAGGAAAAGCATCACGAGATTATCGTTTCGAGTAATATATGGCTCCATATAATGGAAATGAGGCAGGTGAGGCAGAGCTTAGCGGACCCGATGCAGTCACCATGGCAGAACGCGCCGCACTTCCTGCATAGGATAATCGCGAGTAGGTCACAAACGCACGAGTTTTGGACGTCGCAGTAGGCAAGAGCAACGTCAGCGGATGAGGCAGGAGAGGCAAAGCTCGGCGCACCCGATACAGTCGTCGTCGCAGAACGCGCCGCTCTTCTTGCATAAAATCATCGCGCGTAGGTTACAAACGCACGAGTCTTGGACGTTCACAGTTGGCAAGAGTGACGTCAGCGGATGAGGCAGAGCTCGGCGGACCCGATGCAGTCGTCGTGGCAGAACGCGCTACACTTCTTGCCTAGGATCATCGCGCGAAGATTAGAAACGCGCGAGGCTTGGACGTTCACAGTTGGCAAGAGTGACGTCAGCGGATGAGGCAGGTGAGGCAGAGCTCGGCGGACCCGATGCAGTCGTCGTGGCAGAACGCGCCGCACTTCTTGCATAGGATCATCGCGCGTAGGTTACAAACGCACGAATCTTCGGCACCCACGCTTCGACATCTAGCCACGCTCTGCGAATGACACTGTTCTGTATTCATTTTTATTCATTATAAGCCTACTAATATCCCCATTGCTGGGACAAAGGCCTTCCCTACGAATGGAATAGGGAGATTGGGCCATGACCCACCACCCACCATGCCGGTCTTGCGCGGATTGATGCTTACGACTGCAGATACAGCCGGAACCAACGCCTTAATGTGCCTTCCACAGAATGAAACACGGAGGGGCTCAAGACAATAAATTTTTGCTCACCCATCCGATGACCAGCCATTTCGAAAGTTGCTTTACTTCCACGATGGCAGACCGAGCGCACTAACCACTTGCGCCAACGAGTTCCTCGCTTTGATTTGTATAAGATTGGGAATATTCATAGGTACCTTTGATGGCAAAAAGTCACTGGGTCTTTTTTCTGGCATATTTTCGTCTTCCTAGTCACAATAATTATTTGGCATCCACACCAAGAAAACGATTAATAAAAAGAATATACCGAAGGCTAGGCTGTATCTGTTGCCTTCGTTACTGAACAATCACATACATTAAAAAAGTTATGTTCTGATTACATTTAGCCAAAAAGATATTTTTTTTGTTTAGCTATATCAAGTCTGAACTCATCAGAATATTACATTGTACACACTATTATCTTTTTTTGAAAGTGGATGGTATCAAGTCACTGACCAGAGAAAATATAGGTATGTATTTTATTTACTTACCACATTAGAATTTTGATTAGACGGCGGAGCACTGGATGCTCGTGGTGCGACATTCGGAGTCCTCTGCACCAGAATGTACTGCCCGACGTTATTAGTCCGATTTTCGTTTATCTATAAAATTAGATAGTCATTTTTTAATACTTAAATTAAAGAAAGAAAGAAAAAGGTTTTACTACTTTTATTTTACCCCATTACACAAAAAATCGTAAAAAAGAAAGAACATAAAATAGCAATGATAATAAAGGAGTAACCAGGACCCTGTCTCTACATGAGCTGGTGCAACGATGGTCGCATCAGTGCTGATGTTCTGACAGGGCCTGAACACAATATCTTTTATTTTTCTCATTTTTTTTTGTTTAGAGAACGAAACAGCAATATCTATAGACATAGTAAAGCTCCAGGGTCTCCAGCTAAAGTTTTTCTGCAAACATTCAACAAAAACACATATTTACACAAAACTTTGTTTCTGAATCATATTTCTGCACACACGCCGTCTACTGATCACGTGGTTGTCGTACACAAAATACACAGGGCCGCATTCTAAACGTACGACCAATTTGCAACAATTGCCAAATTTGTCAAGTTTCATAAATTTTTGGGTCAAAATTGAAACGTCAGAGTGAAAAGTTGGATTTGAAGCGCAAGTTTGGAGTGCAGCTAGGGTTGCCAGATGCTGGCTATCTGTTCCGGGACATTTCCCCCACTCCCCCGAAATATCCGTCTATCCGTTACCCTAGTATCCCATTACACAAGCCTTACCGTGCTTTCTTTGGGGCTAGGCTGATTTGTGTGAGTGTTGGAAATATTTATTATAGTTACCTCATTGTGAGCCATAACGGAGACGGGCAGCTGTCTCACGAGCACCGGGGGCGGGGGTGGAGGCGGGGGCGGAGGAGGCGGGGGCGGGGGCTGAGCCGGGCGCGGGGGGCGGGCGGGCCGGGTCAGGAGAGCGGGGGGTGGCCGCAGCTGCCCGCGCAACGCGTCCCTATTGGGACTGTTCTGGATCACGGCCTGGCATATTTGGTAGCTGCGTTCGAGGTTAACAGCACCAGGCGGGACCTTATTCGAACTGCGGCTCCTGGAATGAAAATACAGAGCTTAAGTTTTTCACTTAAAAAACTGACGAAAAGGGGGTGGGTGGTAGAGATTAAATTCATATTCTTCTTACATAAACATACACATTAAATTGAGAAAGCTGTTAAAAGTAAGAATTAACTAAAACATAGGACGGTTCTGGATCCACAGCCTGGCATATTTGGTAGTTGCGTTCGAGGTACACAACACCAGGTGGGACTTTATTAGAACTACGGCTCCTGGAATGCGTCCGAAGCATTCAATTCTTCATTTAGAAAACAGGCGAAACAGGGGCTCGATTATCGCTATACTCCATAAGATATACATTATATTGAGAAAGCTGCTAAAAATAAGATAATTTACTATAAAATCATTGGTATTATTACGAACTAAAGCAACAGTAGCTTTTTGGCATAAAATTAAGTCTAACTATGATACCATATCATAGTTAGACTTAATTTTATGCCAAAAAATTTCAATTTCAAAAATTTACAATTGACACAGATATCAGAATCAGATATCTGATCGACTTCAAGATTGAGTAGCCTAGCAGAGATAAGGCGAAAATTACTCTAAATTAACCTTAATTTCACCTGGAAAACTAACTAGTTAATTAAAAATGAAGGGACAGATTAATAAGCTAAAGAATTTCGCAAGAATTGTTCATTGTCTGCCGTTTCATTTTCTCTGCACCTTCTTTCCGGTTGACTGGTAGAGAATGCCACACTGGCATGAAGTCCGCCATTTGCATTTGTAAAGTCAATAAAGGACATGGTAAAATCTTAGTAATATTTAGTGCTGAATGGCTGAATGTTTATAATATCTATGAAAAAAGGCAAAGGAATATTTGGTAGTCACAGTGTTGAAAATTATGAGAACTCCTACTATGTCATTACCTTGCTACATTTGATATAAGATGTTGCCAATTATTTAAAGAGTCAATTGCGCTAAGAACATGCGCAATTCGATTCGATCAATTGCGCATTTTCTTAGGATCCTTCCTCCCATTTCACTGATTATCAAAAAGTGTTTTAATGCAGAAATAAATACAAATAATTTGTTGTCATCAGCCTGATAGGAAATCTGTGAAGTTTTATTTTGTTCATTTGCAAAAATCAAATGATTAATTATCATACAGCCTTGTCTCAAGCAAGATCAGAATAATAAAATCTACTATTTTAAGTCTTCAGTGATTTGTTATAACAAAAATTAGAGCCAAATATGTGCTTTAAGGAGTTTGGAATTAATATTGTTTCTTTTGATATACTTACAGCAATATTTTTTGTGTACATATATTATTTATTTATTTTTGTAAAACGTAACATTTTCATTTTGAAACAGACATGAAGTCAATTTTTATACTTTTAAATATTTGATTATTTCACGAAAGTTGTATGAGAATAATAAACACGTGATAATTAGGTAATAAAAAAATATTATAATGTTACGGGCTAGTGTGCAATAATTAAACACATTAAGGGCTTCTTAGCCATGTCCTTTCTTACCAGATACAAATACACTTCGGGACACATCTATCGGCCCACCTAGCATTTTGAGTTATGACGGTCCCTAGCTAAAAATAAATGTTACAAAGAGCAAAAACTTATTACCTATGCAGTTTTGAAGCTGATGCATTAACCATCTTTCCGTGTTTTTAAATAATTGCTCAACCATAATCATGTATTTTTGCTACAGACTGTTGAAACTTATAAGACTAAGTGAGCCCATAGATGTGTCCAGAAGTATATTAAGACAATTTTATGTGTTGTTGTTCTTCCAAAATAAATATACTCATAAAAAATTAACTTATTGAATATATATATTTGGGACAAGTGATAGCAGCAGAACTACAAATGCAAAAAGAATTACAGCATAGATCTAATAACACATGGTCATGATACTGGTCCTGAAACAAATAATGAAAAAGAATGATATGCCTAGCCTACACAAAAAGAAAGTATTCGACACTTGCATACTTCCAGTACTCACCTATGGATGCCAAACATAGTCCTACTCAAAACATACAACACAACGGTTAAAAGTATGTCAACAAGGAATCGAAAGAAGTATGTTAGGTGTCAAACTAAAACACAAAGTTCGTCTCTCTGCCATAAGAAAAAAGACGAAAGTGGTAGATGTAACCAGAAAAGTCAGAACACTGAAGTGGAGATGGACTGGGCATATCATGAGGTTGATGAGGAACAAGTGGACAAAAGATATTATGGAGTGGTACCCCTGAGATGGTTAACGTAGAAGAGGTAGACAACACAAAAGCTGGGCAGACGATCTACCCAAGAGTTGGCGACGAGCAGCCACAGATAGGAACCAATGGGCCAATTTGGAGGAGGCCTATGTCCGAGGACAACCTGATTGTACAAGTGCCGATGTCAGTGACTAAACTAAAAGTTTTAATTTTACGTTACTTTTAACATGTACAACAGAGAAGGCTATTTTTATTTTTTATTTATGTGTTATTTGTTGTTTTGCACTCCTATTTGAATAAATTTAATTTTACTTTTGATTTTTTAAATATGTTATACGAAATTTAATAAAATTATTGTCAAAAGTATCAAATGCAAAGCATTATTTCATACTAATATGAATAAAAAAAAAAATACCTGTTAGATTCTTTTCCCGATTTTGATTTCTTCCCAGCAGTTCTGATAGTTTGTGTTAAGCTGGTAGTTGCATTCACTGACACATTTGTTGCTGTTGTACCTGATAATATACTAGGAATGGTATCAGCCTCCTGTTTCATCGACATTTCTTTCATAGACTGACAACTCTCTGATGAGTTTGAAGATTCCATATTAAAATTGGCATCTCTATCTTCTTTATACATACAGTTCTCATCATTGATACTCAGATCCTCCATACTTGTCTTTGAATCTTCATTTACATATTTTGTATTTTCGTTATTTATGTTTGAAAAAGAATGTAGTGTCACAATATTTTCACTATTGATCCATTCACTATCACTTTTCCAAGAAACTGCTGATGTTTTAGGTTTTGCAGGATCCTGCATACTATCATCAGGATATGACACAATCTAAAATGTAACATTCACTCAATTAAATTAAGAAACTTTGTAAAAACTTTTGGCTAACATTATTTGGACTTACAGAAGTATTTGTAACTTCCATCATGGGTATTGATGAATTCTGTGTCATAGGCATTGTCACAACAGCTGTTACATCTGTAATACAAATCATTTTTATAACAAGTAACAATGGATTTTATTTTGTGGGTATTATAAAAATATTTACTTATGAACTACCCCAATAGTTTTCATACTTACTGGTTTCACTCATATAAGAAGATAACTCCATTAAGTTAGGATGTGGAGCAAACTTTATATCTTCACTCTCTGAAAATATCCATACAATATTAAAATATACTGAATAATATGCGAACATGCAAATTTTATGACAAATAGTCATATATTTTAACTTACGTGATGTTAGTATTGACAATCCACTTGTTTCTAAAATAAATGATTCAGCATCTTTGAAATGTTCATCATAATAGCTTTGAACACTATCAACTTGTCTTTCTTCGTTTTTAACATTATTGCTTGGGTGATCATTTTTTATATTGGTTTGTGGTACATGACATTCCAATTCTTGTACAAATTCAGTTTTATTGTCAGGTATTTCTTCATCTATAATTAGTGTATTTGTTGACATTTCAGTTAAATTTGTATCCTCTAATTTAATTTCTTCCACATTCTCTATTGTATATTTGTGATGCATTTCTTGTGATATAGATGATTTTTCTAAATCCTCTCCTATATGAGGTTCTTCAACATCTGTTACTATACTTTCTGTCGTGTTGCTATCTATATTAGCAACTATTTCACTTGTGTGTATATTATTTGAGGGTGTGTCAATTTTTAAACTTGCAACTGAAGATATACTCCTTTCATCATATTCAGATAAAAGTAAAGTTGCTTTGCTATCTTCACTGTTCTCTGTTTGATCTCGACTAGGCATGACATTAAATTCATCACTTGAGCAAGCCTGCTCAGCAACATAGTTCAGTTCAGTGTCAGATCCATTATTACTAACTGGACCACCAGAAACATTATTTGGCATAAAACTAGCATTGTCTAATTCATATTCATCTTCAAATTTAATTCTTTTTGTTATGGAAATATATTCATTATCACTTTCATTAGATCTTTTGATAGAATCAGAGAAGCTGCATTCAGTTGTTTTTTCTTCTTCACTGCTACTTTTTTGAACCAAGGACTCTTCAATAGTTACTACATTAATATTAAGATCATTTTTAGTTTCACTGCGGTCAGACTCAATATCAGGCAAAAGTGGATCCATAAGTGGATCTACTGGTGTAACTGATGCAGCATCATCCATTTGAGGCACTGATGAGGAATCTGAGAAACTGAAATCTGCTTGACAGTCTACATATCCTTGGTGGTGGCCTTTAACATGTTTGATGGGCAATAAGTCTGGTAGTGGAGCTGATGATTTAGTCCCCATGTTAACATCATCTATGATATCATCCACCTTTGCAGATGATCTAGTGACAGCACCCACAGAGCGCATTCTTTTACTATTGCTAGATTTACTTTTCTTTATTTTAGGAACAGTACTACTGCTTGTTATAGAAGCTGTTGGTCTCAATTTTATTGTTGTCTTCAATGATGGCCTCTCTGTGTTTATGCTGATTCCTGATTTATCTCGATTAGACTTTTCACCCCAAAATGGTTCAAAGTGTTTTAGCTTCCATGGATCTATTTTACTTTTCTCTCTTTCAGCTTCAGTCTTCATTTTTTGTTGGTTTTCTGGAGTAAATTCTCCACCAGACAGGCTATCTTGCCATTCTAAACAAGCACGGGCAAAAAATTCATTACTCAGACTAGAAGAATTAAGGCGACCAGATGGACTTAACCGATCAACACTTGGTAGCAACTGGCCTAACTTATACTGGTATAAAGGCGGAAGAAGCGAAAATGTGTGTTTGTTTAGTAATGCTCTTATATTAGTATTGACTAAAATCGAATCAGGTGTTTCTAAATCAATACAGCCTTCTCTGGTTTGTTGTAATTGTGCAGCTGTTGATAATTTCTTTCCACTTCGTTTCCGGGGTTTAAGGCAGAAACCGGGGATACTTGCAAGCACTTCACGCATAGTGGAAGGTTTACTACTACTGCTTTGTTCTGAATAAGATGTGGCTGCTGTCCATTCTCGAGTCTCTGGTGGGGGTGGAGGCGGTAAGGGCTTTACTATAATTCTAGGTAAAGGTCTAGTATGATTAGAGCTTTTTTTTCTTCTCTTAGATTGTTTTCTGGACGAATGCTTGCTAGTTTTTTCATCATCCTCTGGAATACGTATAACTGAATAAGGCGGTTCATTGTTTACACATGTCAAGTATTTGTTGTCTGAAGAATTATCTGGGTAATCCATATCGGTATCAATTGTGTTTATAGGCGATACATCCAGCTCCATTTTAATGTTTATCAGAAAACTGGAAAGAGAATCATGAATGTATGCCGAAAGCGATCACTGATTCAACCCATAGTGAACTTGTATACACGTCAGAATAAATATTTATTTGCAGTATTGTTGTTCTTTACCGTTATTCATCACCTGATTATAGTAATTAGCGAAAGTGTAACATATTAATCACGTTTAAATATATTTTCTGGCTTTATCAAAATGTCACAACAACGCAGAAAATGGATCCCACTAGTGTTGGACGATAAGCAGGTTTCAATTGTTGCAGAAATTCATTATGGATTCAGATTGTTGTAGAACAATCGATATATAAGAACAATCGATGTTCGATATCATTCGTACAATTATTCAATCAAAGAAATTAAACAATACTCTTGACCATATGTATTATTATGTCTATGCCCGCTCTCTATCCATTGCCATTTTCCATGGACTAAACAATATATTATAAAGAAATGTCAATGTCCTAAGTTATTCTTTTAACTTTGGATTCGGTTAGATCTTCCAATCTTTCTCATATACCGCTCATAGAAAAGGATAGTTAACACAGTCAATAAAGTTCAGTTTTAATTTTTAAAAATTATATATATAATCAAAATATTCAATTTAAATCATTACTGAATATAATTTATTAGCACATAAATAATTCGCACTTGTATGAAACTAAAACACGTGTTGTGATTATAGAAACTAGAAATGTGTTTAATAATATTAAAAATATGAAAACAGTGATCAGAGGCTACGAGCGTGCCAACATGCGCGACTCAGAGATTCTATTTCTATTTTGTTGGTAATATAATATCCTTCAAGCCTTAGTGTGCAGTTTAGCGGCTAACTTCATGGTGTTACTTTTATGTCACAGTAATGCGCGTGTATCTTAAAATTTCACTGTCATATTTTTTTCATAACGCGCCTTGCGGTTTAGCGGCCAACTTCATGGTGTCGGTGTTGTGATTATAGAAACTAGAAACATGTGAAATAATATTAAAGATATGAAAACAGTGATCAGCGGCTACAAGCGTGCCAACATGCGCGACTCATAGAGATTCTATTTCTATTTTGTTGGTAATATAATATCTTTCAAGCCTTAGTGTGCGGTGTAGCGGCTAACTTCATGGTGTTACTTTTGTGTTACAGTGATGCGCCTGTATATTAAAATTTCACTCTCATAATTTTTTCATAACGCGCCTAAAGAAGTATAGTAATATAAGTTATTTACGAGTATCGAACGCAATAAAAGACTTCGTCGGAGGGTAGACCGATATGTCTGCCAATAACAGCCTACCCGCAATTACTTCAGTTACTCCGTGATCATGGCGCTTGCAACAGTGCCGAAATATCGGAAACTCGCTAAAAACAAGGTACATGGTAACAATCCCGTAAATAACTTATATTACTATAATGTTAGTGACAGTGGCGGACTAAGCTCGTTAGAGGCCCGGGGCGGCAAAATGAGGCCCCCAAGTTTTAAAGAAAAAATGTAGTTTCTTAGTTTGTTTCGTTAAAATCTGGCGAGTGAAATTTAAATTCCAATTAAATTATTTAAGCTAAATAAACATACATACCTACAATATGGTACATATTGACTAGAAACGTAGGTGCATATTGACTAGAAACTACGGATTATGATTTCTAGGCTAAATTATACGAAGAATTACTTACTTTTTCTAAATACTTAAAAATGCGCTAACTAGACTCTAAAGTCATTTACTTTTATACCGCAACAAAAATCAAAAGCACTATTACACTTTTTAATGAGGTTACTTTGAACGGATTTTAAAAGAGGCCAATGTTTATTTTTCGACGTAAATATAGTGAATGTTATTAAATGTAGGCGTATAAGAGTGAATTATTTGTACTTCATTTATTCAGGGGTACCTGAGGAAATACCCGCTGCAGAGACGGGAATTCCCCCAGTAGTACAGTCAATCTATCGAAAAAAATATCGTTTCAGTAAAAAAAAAACCTAAAGGGTAATTCTTGTTTTTTCTGTTGCCAAATGACGTCAGTAAGCCACCTTGGCGATGGGCATGTTCAACTCGTAGGCGTTTTTTGAAAAACTCAAAAAAAACCGTCAAAAATTTTTTGAAACGCATTTTTCTTGTTTTGTATGCATTTCAGAAACTTTTTTTTTGACCATAATTTAAAAAAATTAAAATTAGTGATAGGTATCTTCACTAAAAGCCTCTGGCCATAGTTCTTTATGTGACCATTTCTTTCTTTGGTCGGCCTTGCCTGTATTCCCAGGAGTTTCAAACTTTCCATCATTCTTAAAAACTTCGATGACTATCCGACTCTCTGATTTTCCTGAAAAAAAAAGTAAAAAATATGTAACGGAATAGAAACAGTAACTTATTGACATGAAGCAATTAATTCAAAATGGATAGAAAACCTGACCGAGTTGAACCATAATGACGTATCAAAAAAAATGGTCGTTCTACATTAATTACTATTTACAGTTTGTCTATAATTAGATTAATGCTTCAAAATATAATTAAATTATCTAAATTCACTTGACTTTCAAGGGTTTGAGCTAGTAGAAACTCATGCCACTTATGATCGGCTCTTTTTTCAGACACTTTAAAGGTGGGAAATAAAAAGATAGTTATTAAAGTAAATCTATCATTGTTATTTAGTTTTTTTTGAGCATTTAACTTAAATCAGCTATAATTTAAGCTAAATGTTTATATATAAAGCAAATTTTACTAGAAAAAAATCCACGCGGACCAGGTAGCAGACGGTACTCAAACTCGCACCCTTCGCTATCCGCCTTTAAATAAATATATTATTTTTATTATTCAGAACTCAAATTCAGAAGAGTTTCTGCAATAGCGTCGCAACATGTCAGAAAGTGCAGTTCAGTGCAGTTTTTAGTGATTTAAAGTTTCTTCTTTACTGTTTGATACTTATCATGGAGAAAACTCCGACACATACCACTAATAGGCTAGTTTACTCATGTCGAATTATATTAAATAAATGTTTATTTCTTAAAGTAGTTAGTCTAAGGAACCTTAATATATCGATTTCACTTCATAAAAGCAGAAGATAGCTGTAGAAATTTAATTTTAAAAAATATTTTTTAGTCTATATTTTTTAAACACTAAAAACGCTGTTCGCCACATCCGCCATGATTTTGACGTCTCTTGTGGTAAATAACTAAATGTCATTCGCGTGTTACTGTAGGTGGATTCTTTCGTCTGACTTTTATCTTAAAACACATTTAACTTTAGGAAAGAAAAAAACAGTAAACTTAGTTTTTTTTTTGACAAAACTAACCGGCTTTGTGAAAGCAGAAAGCACAAATCTGCCAAGAATTGACGCATTGATGGTTGGTGAATTTGTTGCACTAAACCCAGAGAAACGACAAGGCATCTATGTAAGTACAGTGCATTTAGTATTACAATGGTGCCGATTCTGGCGTGATTCTCTAAACTTAAAATTAAATTTAACATCAGTCTGTCCTTTTCATTCTGTATAGAGAATGACAAGGATATACTGCTGTCAAATTTAAGTTTAGGTTTAGAGAATCATGCTAGAATCGACACCAATGTAGTAATAAACATAAAAGTGATACAACATATGAATAAGTGTAATAAAGTTGCGTAGGTTAATTTCTTTCGGCACTTTAATCCACAACTTTCCTGGAGTCTTCAAGGATGTGTTTTTATATTCTCGTACAATACAGTAATGATAATTACTTTATTTTTCGTGGTATTTATTAGAAATCATGTTTTTTTTTATTATAAACTCAGTTAAAAGTAATTTTCTACGTGTTTACGAGTTTTTGTTTACCACAGTTCACGTCATAGCATAGATAATCTATAGACTAAAATGGCCGACAGCGTTTTTGAATGTCCATGAAAAGTCTATTTTAAAATTAAAGATTTGTAGCTTTCTAGGTTTAAAAAAAATACAATACATTTTTTTTCGGTCTCATAGAACATTTATTAATCATTTAAAACCTTTTTCCAAAAAGGGTCAACTAGCCTATTACACAAGCAAACGAAGAAGGAATAGCGATACATGGAAGAGGAATGTGATAAAAAGCTAAGATAAGTTCGTGATATTTACTAGGTTAGGGTTGGCACCTATTTGATTTTACTATGTAATTATTATTACACGGATAAAAGTCACAAAAAACATCATAATAATAATATTTGTTGATTTGTTTTGATAGTTACGGGTCCTGCCGTGGAATATTGTTTCATGATTGAAATATGATTTTTGTTATCCTTTTCTCCTCATAACATTACCGGTAGGTATTATCCATATACTAATATGTATATAGTTTTTTTATTTAGAATTTTATTAAATAGGAGCGATAGAACGTACAATAGTCCATTCATTACAGTTACTTCAATTTAGTTGATTTTATAATAATATTCCATTGTTGTGATGGCAAACACATAGTATGATGTCTGCGGTGTGTGCCCAATTGCAAGTGATCTTCCAAATAGAACGCAAGACTCGGGCTTAATAAAACCTGGTCTTTAGTTTCTTATTATTAATTGATTTTTTATGTTTAAGTCCATGTCATTAAAACCATAAAAGGAAATTTTATTCAAAGATTGTGTGATTACGTAAACAAAAGTTTTGTGTTTACTTTGAAATAATTAAGTTATTTCTTTTTTATTTTAAATAATTTGATTTTTGTTTCAGTTTATTATTTGTTCTTCATTTCTGTTAATTTTCAATAAAAATATTAATTAAATATAACAAACTTTAATTATGACAACCCTGTTCATACTCGGCTATCATAACATTTAGTTCGCGTCAAACGCGGTGTTCTTCATTTCATATAATTTTCAATAAAAATATTAATTAAATATAACAAACTTTAATTTTGACAACCCTGTTCATACTCGGCTATCATAACATTTAGTTCGCGTCAAAGACGGCCATTTTTACCAAGCTTCGGTTTAAAATAGGCCATTCTAATAATTTACTATCAAAGGCGGCAATATAGTAATTTTATTTTATTTTTATGGTGCCTATGGTTCATTTTGCGCAATGATTTTATGTTCATTGACATTCATCATAACTATAAATTGTAGTGAAATGTCAATTATAAAAATCCTCCCTTATATACGAGACTAAACAGTTTTTTTTGATTTGGCAAATATTTGGTTCGCCCTACTTTGCCGCCTTTGATATATACGACTCTAATTAAAATGTTTAATCCTGCGTCATCAAGTTGCTAGTTGCTGCCTGTCTCATAGTATTCACTGGATCTGGAATCATCATCACCTGCACTGAGATTTTTTGAGGAATTTTCTTTTTCAAATTTATACAGATTTTCCATTCTTGTGGAATTATTTCTTGAAATACTTCTTCAGCCAAATGATATTCGCGTTTTGCAGCAATAGTTGAAAATCTGCCGT